GGAACCGAAACCGAATTAACCGAAACCAAAAATTTCGGTTCCTAGTTCGGTTCCCAGTTCTCAGGAACCGAAATAATGTCGGGCAATTCGGTTCTAGACCTCGGTTAACCGAACAAAACCGAAGAACCGACTTAAAGTATAAATACAGAACTTTCGGGTTTCTTGACTCCTCCCTCACTCTCTCTGTCTCACCGCATGCTCCCTCTCCCACCGAGCCGCCTCTCCCTTCCCGAGACCGAGACCAAGCGCGCCTCTCTCCGCTCCGTCCTCCCTCTCCCTCTCCACTCTGGCCTCCCTCTCCTTCTCCCTCTCTTTCTCTCCCTCTCCATTTCCAAAGCCTGGGGCGCGTCCCCTTTCGGCAGCTGCACGACGCGGGGGGCGCGGCCCCTCCTCCGGCGACAGCGCGACGCGGTGGGCACGGCACCTCCTCCAGCGACGGCACGACGCGGGGTGCGCGGCCCCTCCCACACCCCGAAGCCCGAAGCACCTCCACCACCATCCCATGGCTGGATCAAGTGGAGGGCGACCAGATCTATGGTGGGCCCGCCCTCGGCGGTGGATCTAGGCCCGGCGCGCTTCGCGACAGCGGATCCACCGCCTCCCCTGTCCCCGGTCCTCCCCTGTCACAGGTGTCTGCTCTGGAGGTCGAGGCGGAGTCCGGTGCGTGCCAGCTGCCCTGGAGGCCGGATCTAGACGAAGGGGCGACTGCCACCGTTTTTTTTTTCATTTTTCCCCGTTTCTTCACTTCTGTTTCGCTGATGTAATGTATGGCTCGGTTAGTTCGGTTCTAACCGAAACCGAACCGAACTAACCGACACCGAATTTTCTCGGTTCCAAGTTCTCTAGCTAACCGATCGGTTTTAAGTTTTGTGCTAACCGAATTTCGTAAATAACCGAGGAACCGAACCGATCGGTTTCAGTTAACCGAATGCCCACCGTGAGGCCCCATGCCAGGTACAGAAGTTAATTTGGTAGTTGGCTTGCCAGTAAACGCAATAACTGCGTCTTCATCCTCCTCGCTGCAGTACGGCGGCAAAGAGAGGAAAAAGCGTTGAGCCACAGCCATGGAGGAGTGCAAGAAAACGCAGGAGGAGCCAATGACGGCAAGAATATTGGCAATATTTTGGTTTGAAACCCGAACTTTGAACACCCCATCCCCGGAACGAACAACTCTAAGGCGACCCGGAGGAGATGCAAGTATCCGTTGAATAGCATTCTGCATGATATGAATGCCTGCTACTCTGCTTCCTGCTTGGGCTCGCAAGAGCAGTGCCATCAGCTGGAACGTGTTCACGTTATCATTCCCGGCCAACCAGCTCATCCCTCGTGCACAATCTACAGCCTGTTCAGGAGGCCGTATCGTATCGTGGATTATTTACTGTTGGCTGGTTTGGTGTGAGAGAAAATTTACGAACGCATCCTGATCAAGACTCTTGATGAATTAAGCAATTAGCTCAGCCTTCCACGGCATTGTGGAAAATATAGAAACAGATTCCAGTTTGAACTAAACTTGTCATTGGGCCTAGAAAAGCCAACGAGGCCTGTTATCCACAAAACACTAGCAGGCTGAACCCATCTCGATAACAACGGTGGCCTCAAGGATTAGGGTCCTTGGATAAGTATTAAGAGACCGAGACTACAAGCATGTTGAACTAAATTATTGTTGGTTTATTTATATTCTTGCATGTGTTGCTCATCTCGTCACTACAGTACTGTAACTTGCAGCTTCATTGCCTAGTCATTATTGATCCCCACCAACGTAAGCATAAACTAATCCACCATTGCTGCTCCGTCATCTACACTGCAGTGACCGAGACCGCCATTGCTGCCTGTCCAAGTCCAAGCCATCACTGTCGGCACTGCGCTGCTGCCGAGGACAATAATGCAAGCTTGCATGGAGCCTACCAAGAAGACCCGCTGCATGCAGTGGTGTACGGTGTTGTGGTCGGGTGTTTGGTTCCTCCATGGATATTTGACATTAATTTAGAATATTAAATATAGACTAATAACAAAACAAGACTAATTTACGAGACGAATCTATTAAACCTAATTAGTTCATGATTTGATAATTGTGTACTAAAGTAAACATGTGCTACTGATGGATTAATTATGCTTCATAGATTCGTCTTGCGAATTAGTCGTAATTCGTGTTATGATTAGCTCATGTTTAGTCTTTCTAATTAATATCCGGAACTGCAGTGCCTTGAACCAAACAGCCCCCTGACCCGCGCGGCAGCTGAGCCAAGTCGTTCTGCTCAAATAAAAAATGCTGAGCCAAGTCGTTGGCCTGGACCCACGCCCCACTCACCGGCAGAGCAGAGTGCGTGGTACAGCTGAAGCCACTGAGAGATGGTCCATATGCTGCGTCAGTGACATGTCCAAGAAGATGCCTGTCTCTGCGTCAATGACTTGTTGGGGAAGACTCCAACGAGTTAGTGTTGCCGAATAAATTCTCCACTTCCGCTGTGTCCTGTTGTCCATTATTGGAGGTTTGCTTTGGTGGCGCCAATAAGTGGAGGAAGGAATAGAGAGGATGCTTCAGTAGGAACGAGGGACTGCTCTTTGCGTTCTCAGCCGGCTCCTCTCTTTCTGCATCCTTCCAATTCGAATTGGTACGCTATTTGTTTGGGTCAGTTCAGTGGCTTCAGATCTGTTCATCTTTCCTCTCTACTTTCATGACTGATTTAGTGAGCTGCACCGTTTTTGTTGGATCTAGCTGGTTGAAGAAATCCTGTTCGGAGTGGAAGTTCACATTAACACCTTCTGTAGCACTGTGGTTAGTGTGCCGGCTCTGTCCTGTCCAAGGTATGTTCTTGGCTATGAAAACTTTCTCATTGCCTTCACTTACTAATAAGATGTTCTGGCGCCTCCTTTCTGTTGTCATAGCGCTTTCCTGGTAATGCAGAGAGAGAGAGAGAGAGAGAGAGAGAGAGAGAGATGAAGCTTGATTCGGGACAGTATAACCATTTCTGTAGGATAGCAAAACAATTTGCATTGGGATCTCTTTATGCAGCACTCTGATCACTGGCTTACCGACTGTGCAGTGTTCAGTTACCTCTTAAAATTCTTATTTAGTGTTAATTCTTCTTGATAATTAATTACATGCTAACATGTTCTTGTCATAGGTGTTGATCAACCAAGCAGCCATTTAACCTGCTAATTGTATCCGGATCACTCTGCTGTCAGTTCCTCTAGCTCTCAGATGCACATGGAGTGTTAATTGCTGTGAAAAGCTCCAGGGGATCAAGTTAATCAAGAAACAGTTATGATGTCATTCTTCATTTTCTCCTAAAACATGCCATATTTGCACGTGCTGATCACATAGAGATTGCAGAAGTTTGATGCTTGACAGAGCACCAGTTTCTTTTGGACAACATCCAGATGGGATCAGGAAAACATGCATCCTGTTACAACCAGTAGCTAACCATATGCAGGTATATCTTTCCCAGTTCTAATATCTCGGATTGACTAGTGGTGTTTACTCTTGAAAAATATATTGAGTTAAGTCTATTGATTCAATCAAGCTTTCATTCTCTCTACTTTTTACAGTTGTCGTAGTGTGATCAACTGAGACCGAGAGTCCTCTGTTATCTATTCTATATATTGGTTTCTGAAGCTGTGGCCTTAAAATTTCATTTGGCTTACTAAGTGACGATCTTCAAGTAATGATGGGTTGATCATCTGAACAAACTGCTTCTGTGATTCTTATGATCAATCACTTTTCCAAATTGTCTACATTTTCCAAAGATGGGTTGATCATCTTCAAGTAATGACTACATTTTTCTAAGGTAAGAGCTGTAGGCGTGCTTCTGATATTATAAGCTTGCATCCATGATGTTATTGTTTTTGCTGATACATGTTTCCTTCTTTTTGTACAACTGTCGGTACTTATACGGACAAACTGCTTCTGTGATTCTTATTGCCAATCACTTCTAAGATGGCTTTTTCGTCTAAAAGGAAATAAAGTGCTTAGGCTTATAAAAGAAAAACAATAAGCCCATGAACTGGTATGGCACCAATCCAAACATAAACTATTACCCATGTTTTAGGTCTGCCAACAAGGTTTTGGTATTGCCAAATTGTGGTTTGACTCATGTTATACTAAAAAGCTAACAGTTAGTCCACATCCCATTACAAACTATCTAATTCTTACTTTCACAAATGCTTCTTACAATCTTTATTTAGCACTCATTCGCCGCTTCAGGTACCCGCACGGTTTCTATTTGGACTCCTTCAACTAAATTAGTTTCCTTGCATAGCTGATTGAACTTTCCTTTTCTCCCATGAATATCTCTCCTTTCACTGCATGTCAGCTTCTTAATCCATCTCTTTCCTTGCATGAATGCCCATAAATATCTTTGAGTAGTTCATCCTATTTATTAGTTTCTTTGCATGACTTCTGAATTACATTCCCTGCTAGCCAGGCTCATTATGAAAAAGGGTCTAAGCTAGTCAAGGTCAGGGCAAAAATAGATGACTTCGAAAAATACTTGAGGTTTTGTTGTGTGATGCTAACAAGCATGCCTTTGGATGATTCAGAGTTTTTCTTTGAAAGTTTGGATTATTCAGAATTACCATTTCGGTACCTCACCATGCTTCTATATTTTGCAAACATCATAACTGATACAGTTGATGATTTTTATAGTAGTTGGTTGCAAAAGCTACTTCTTGACACCTGAACGCGTGATAGGTATTATGCACAAATTAGGAGATATATGTAGACATTTAGATTTTATTAACTTAAAATATATATGCTGCAAAAGTGACCACAACAAGCCTTTCAAAGATCAAGTTTATTAACTTAACAAAAATTTAGATGGAAAATAAGTAGTTATATCTTTCTTCTCTACTACAAGAGCAAACTGTGTGCACCTTGTGCAATTTTAACCCACTTAACATTTGTGTTCATTAATTGGCAGCCCACAGCTCTGCAAGTTTGGCCACTCTAGCTACAAAATAAGTCGCTTTGGGTGCATCTCATTGATTCATTCTGTCTAATTATGGCAACCATACTTGATCCTATTGTTGGATCATGTGCCAAGAAGTTGCAAGATATAATAACAGAGAAGGCTGTTGTGATTCTAGGGGTAAAAGAAGAGCTCAGACAAATGCAGAGAAGAATGAAACACCTACAATGCTTCCTTGATGACGCTGAGCAACGAAGGACAGAAGAGTCTGCAGTTTACAACTGGCTTGGAGATCTGAAAGATGCAATGTATGAAGCCGATGATATAATAGATTTGGCTAGATTAGAAGGAATCAAACTGCTAGCAGACCGTCCATCATCATCTAAAAACATTGCTTCATGTACAGGCTTCTCATTTCTATCTTGCATTCCTAATATTCAAAGACGTCATGCAATTGCCGTTCGAATAAAAAATTTCAATGTTGAACTTGAGAAGATTTCAAAACTGGGTGAAAGATTTTTGATGCTGAAGAATATGCAACCTAAAGAAGAGAATTCAGTAGTGAGGCAGGTGAAAACTTGTGAGCTTGTGGAGCCTAACCTCGTGGGAAAGGAAACTTTTGTTGCTTGCACAAGATTGGTGGAACTGATTCTAGCACATAAAGAAAATAAGTCATACAAGATTGGCATTGTTGGAACAGGAGGTGTTGGAAAAACAACTTTGGCCCAAATAGTATACAACCACCAAAAAATAAAAGGCACTTTTAGCATGCAAGTGTGGATTTGTGTTTCTAAAGAGTACTCTGAAGACACTCTTTTGAAAGAGGTTCTTCGAAATATTGGTGTAGACTATAAGCAAGATGAAACTGTTGGAGAACTTAGTATAAAGCTTGCGACAGCAGTTCAAAATAGAAGTGTATTTATTGTGCTAGATGACATATGGAAACATGCTGCATGGACTAATCTACTAAGAACTCCATTAAACACTTCATCTACAACAATAGTTCTTGTGACTACACGTAATGATATTGTGGCACCAGCAATTGGTGTGCAGGATGTTCATCGAGTAGAATTGATGTCTAGTGACACAGGATGGGAGTTGCTGTGGAAAAGTATGAACATTAATGAAGAGACTGAAGTGGCAAACCTAAGGGGTCTGGGGAATGAGATTATCCGTATGTGTGGTGGCCTTCCCCTTGCAATCAAGGTTACTGCTAGTGTTCTAGCAACCAAAGAGAAAACTGAGAACCAGTGGAGAAAACTTATAAACAGAAGTGCTTGGTCCATGAGCAAAGTTCCCATTGAGCTAAGGAGGGCATTGTATTTGAGTTATGACGACCTTCCAGGGCATTTGAAGCAATGCTTTCTATTTTGTTCATTATATCCAGAAGATAGTAACATGCATCGTGATGATCTTATAAAGTTTTGGGTTGCTGAAGGTTTTGTACAGGAGCAAGGCGAGCAACTTCTTGAGGATATAGCTGATGAATATTACAATGAATTGATATACAGGAATCTCCTTCATCCAGACCCCCGATATGCTGACTAAGAATGGTGTAAAATGCATGATCTTTTAAGGCAGCTTGGTCAACATTTGTCGCAGGGTGAATATTTTTGTGGACATCCACAATCATTGGAAGATAAACATTTGTCCAAACTACGGCAAATTTCAATTTTTACTGATAGTGATTCTATAACTCTCCCCAATGGGAACAAAGAGGATATTAGAGCCCGAACATTGCTTATTTGTTGGAGTGAGTCAGCAAGAGTTGAAAATACAATATGAAGGACCGAAAGCGGCGACCAGAGGGGGTGGTTGAATGGGAGGCACAAAATTTCTTTCAAAACTTTTTCGGCCACTGTCCCAAAATCACCGCCAAACTTGCAAATCAAAGACCGTGATGTCCACGACCCAAATAAGTGGCTGGATGTTCCCTAGGAACACAGCGGGACACCACAAAGCCAACACAACAAATGGAAATTCAATCGGAGCTCGAATGAACAAGTTACGGACCAAAACGTGAGCTCGGCAAATAGACTAATCAGCAGCACCAGCACTGAACCCTCTCTGGATCAGGACCGAGCACATGCTCTCTGTAGTCCTATACCAATGGATCACCTTAGTTCACGATGAGAACATTGTAGCAAGGAACTGCACTTGCTAAGCAACAGAAATCATTCGCACATGAACTAAACAAGCTAAAGAATCAAGTAATCATTAGCCTACTATAGCTTGAAAGTGACCACTCACAAATTTGGACACCAAATCACGTTCGTGTCTAGTACTTGGTGTAGCAATGAATTACCTGCTGCTGTCGAACAACAATGAATGATTGCAAATGCTACTGCAGCTGCACTGAACGATCCTGCTGCTGCTAGAGAACCAATTGCTTGACAAGAGAGAAATCAGAGCTTGACCAGGCAGCTGAGAATCGGATCTGCTGCCCCTGGAGTCCTGACCGCTCGACCTGGGAAAAGGAACAACGAAGAGAACAGCCGGTGGTGGGTCTGCTGCATGCACCGTATCGCAAATAGAAAAAAGCGCGACTGAATCGACACGAGAAATTGATGCACAACTGAAAGCGAAGCGGTTCCTCGCGACGGGAACGGATAGGATCACCGGAGATTATAGGCGAGCACAACTCAGGTGAGTCGCATGCATTCACACCAGTGTGCGGCGTGGATTGTGCTGCTCGAACTATGCTGGTACCTCCCCACACTGCTTCCACGCGACGAACAGAGAAGAACAACAAAGAAAGAACGAGAAAGATGGACAGCCAAAAATCCGACGAAAAACGGATCAAATCAAAACAACTCGACCCCAAATTTTGCACAAACCAAATTGAACTAGCTACGAACAAATCCCCAAAGAATCATCTCCTGGGACCAACCCAAACTCCGGAAATATCAGATCGCGGCCATGAACGAAAATGAGAAAAATAGCACAACATGAACACGAAAAATCATAGTCAAAATAGATGAATCCCAGAGGGCACGAGGAGGATTCGGGCCTCCATTCCCAAACAAAATCCAAGCAAAGAAAACACCCACGAATTTCAGTTTTGGGACCTCTCTCTCACAACAGCAAAGAGGGCAAGAAAACCTATACTAAAATGATAAAACGAAAATGGGAGAGGCAAGGGAGATGGGGGCTCCCTTGTCCTATTTAACAGGGCTATTACACATTCCCAGTTTTGCCCCTGGATACAAATGAGTTGAACCGCTAAGCCCAAGGGCGTTGTTGTTCAATCTGGTGTAATCTTGATCCGACGGCCACCGCGCCTTCTCACCGGTAGCTTCGCCTCGATGCGAACTCCTCGATGCCGCCACGTGCCGTCCATCCCTCCTCGGAACCTCCGCCCGGGTTTTGAGGCCCAAACTCAGAACCAACCATCCATGGTGGCGTACTCCATACTGCGTTCCCGCCATCCGACGCATGTCACCGCCGTCCTCGACCGGCCGGCCCGCCAAGTCCTCCTGAGCCTCGCTCGACTCACGTGTCTGCCGTCTTGACCCGGTCAACACCGTCACTCCATGTCTTCTTGCACTTGTCGATGTCCCAAGTGTCAGCCACCGAGGCTAGTCACCCGGCCTCTAGGTCCCTCGGTCCAAGCCTCACGTCCGTCCTTCTCTGCTCCCGGTACGTCGGCACGGCACGTCCTCCTTGACCTTCACCTCGCCGTCGACCACCGCATCCTAGCTCCACACCTGCACAACACAAGCCAAAAGACATGTTGCACACATAGCTTTCGCCATGGTAGAGTTAGTCACCACTCAACCCACTTCGTGGATCACATTGACAATCACTCATCACAAAACGAACACACAAGGGTACTTGTCAACCTTGTGTTCGCAATCTCCCCCTTGATGAGTGCATTGTCAACACCAATACACGAACAGCTTGAGCAAAAGGAAGAAGAAGAAGAAGAAGAAGAGAAAACAAAGAACTCACCCAAATGACCAAAAGCCAAAGAAAAGCCAAGAACCGGGTCATTTGAAAATGAGCAAAACTTGGTCCCCAAAGACATGGGCAACGGCTCGACGCAACCAAGTAAAACAAAGCTAGCCCTCAAGAAGAGGCAACGGGCTCAACACCACTAGCAAAGCTCGAAAAGCCGAAAAACTGCTAGACCCTCCAGAAGAGGCAAAGGCTCAACACATCTAGCAAAACACCTCAAATACAACTCCCCCTGACACAAGTGCAATCTCTCTCAAATGAATGCATATCTCTCAACTTTAGGTGGAATTGGAAGTTTCTTCCCCTTTTCTGAATATTTCTCCCCTTGTGTCCCCTTGTGACATTGTGAGTGTGGAAACTTCTCCCCCTTGTTGACACATGCACTTATCAAGCTAGAGCCCAGGGATTGCAACTCCCCCTCAAAACAAGCTATGAATGCAGAAATGCACGAATGCAGAAGCTTCAAGATTATAGCAAGTAGATTGAAAGGATGCTCTAGTTGATGCTATCATGTATATATAGCAACACATACAAGTGCTAGCAAATGCTCAAGGTGACCAAATGAGACAAAATATGGCAGTTAAGCAAGTTTGATCAAGTTTGAGCAATTTTAAAAGAGGGTTCACCACCAAAGGAGCACATAGCAAAAATAGACAGGAGATCGACCTTGTGCTACACATGTATGCAAAGTGAACTACCCCAAACAAAGCTCACACATCATGTCATGAGACAAACTTGTGGTTTGATCAAATTTTAGATACCAATTGGAATTTATCGGAGTTATGCAGCTTATTACCAAAGTTTGTCAGACAAGTGTGTGCGGGAGGTTATCTGTGCCATCAAAACCTGACTTAGCGACCATGTCAAGCCTATGCCAAAGGCAATCAGAAGCTTAAGACAATGATCTCGGTATCCATTATAGAACTCAAGTTCACCAATAAGTGCAATTTGGAGCTGTCTCGATACTCTAACATAGGATAGTACAGACCCATCCCTATCTTTTCAAATCACTTAGTTTGATTTTCAAGTTTTAGCACAAAATCAAGTTTCTCAAGCAAGTGTGTAACTCAAGGTATGAGCCGTAGCAACTAAGCATATATATGAAGCAAGAAAAAGATCTTGACACATTCTACACATGCTAGTGCCACAAGTAGTGGTGAACACATTTCATGTTTCAACAAGTTTTAATCAAGTTCATAGTTTGGAAAACAAGCTTAGCTCATAACATGCATCAATTGATCAAAAAGAGCCTAAGCCAAAAGCACATCATGTATATCCATAACATCCCCAACAAGAGCATAGTGTCAATCTAGCTACTATAAGGATGAAGCTCAGGATGCAATATGATACATGATGATATGATTTGCAAGTATGATATAAAAACAAAAACAAAGGCTAAACTACAAATAAAAGCAAAACTAGAATACAACAACCAAAGTTCTCGTCCTCTAAAAAGGGAAACAAACTCCAAGCTCCCCTTGCAAGCGAGCAAACTGGGCTTGGTCAAGTGGTTTGGTGAAGATATCTGCGAGCTGGTTTTGGTATCAATGTGGTGCAGATCGATATCACCTTTCTCATAGTGGTCACGCAAGAAGTGAAAGCGAACTTCTATGTGCTTTGTCTTTGAGTGAAGGACTGGGTTTTTGGCTACACTTATGGCACTGGTGCTATCACAAAACAAAGGCACTCGCCTAAACTCTAACCCAAAGTCTCTCTGAGTAGCTATCATCCAAAGCAACTGGGAACAAGCAGCAGCAGCAACATACTCAGCTTCTGTGGTGGATTGGGCGATGCTAGACTGCTTGCGAGAAGACCAAGACACAAGAGAAGATCCAAGAAACTGACAAGTCCCCGAAGTGGACTTCCTCTCAACACGACAACCAGCATAATCCGCATCAGAATACCCACAAAGAGAAAGAGAGGAGGAGGCTGAAAACCAAAGACCAAACTCGGGTGTGAAACGAAGGTACCTGAGGATCCGCTTGATGGCTTGACGATGAGACGTGCGCGGCAAAGACTGAAAGCGCGCGCACAAGCAGACTGTGAACTAGATGTTCGGTCTCATCGCCGTTAGGTATAGTAGGGACCCGATCATGCTTCGGTATTCCTTCTGGTCCACGGCTTCTCCCTCCTTGTCCTCATCCAGGGCCGTCGTGGTTGACATGGGCGTCGAAAGAGGCTTGGCCTCACCCATATCAAATTTCTTGAGCACGTCCTTGGTGTACTTGCCTTGGTGCACGAACGTCCCCTCACGAGTTTGCTTGATTTGTAGCCCGAGGAAGAAAGTCAATTCGCCCATCATGCTCATCTCAAATTCCCTGCTCATAGTATCTGAAAACTTGGCAACAAGAGCATGAGAAGAGCCACCAAAGATTATATCATCCATGTATATCTGAACCAAAAGGATGTCTGTGCCTTGCTTGAGGAGGAACAAAGTCTTATCTATGGAACCCATCCTAAAACCCTTATCAAGCAAGACAGCTTTCAAACGCTCATACCAGGCTCTCGGGGCTTGTTTCAAACCATACAAGGCTTTGTGGAGTTTAAAAACATGGTTGGGGTACTTTGGATTTTCAAAGCCAGGGGGTTGC